GCTTTTTTCTTTTTGCTTATGTGGTGCTGAGGAATCGAACCCAGGGCCTCATGCATGTAAGGCAAGTGCTCTACCACTGAGCCACCTTCCCAGCCCAATTTTATTTTATTTTTTTTTGGTCACGGGGCCTGAACTCTGGAACTAGGCATTGTCCCTCAGCTCTTCAGCTCAAGGCTAGCACACTACCACTTGAGCCACAGCGCCACTTCCAGCTTTTTCTGCTTATGTGGTGCTGAGGAATCTAACTCAGGGTCTCATGTATGCAAGGCAAACGCTCTACCACTGGGCCACCTTCCCAGCCCCTGAAATAGGTAAATTTCTATAAAAATTTGTAGCAATTTTAGAGCACTGAGTTCTGTCCTTAACATTTAGGTCTTCCTCAATGGCAATCTCCCTGCAATAACATACCCACAGATACTAAGGATCTACTGCACCAAACTACGTTTTTCCTTCATCACTTAGTACTTCCCATCTCTGGGGTCATCAATAATTTAATATGTGTACAAGCTTAGAAACTGTGACTGTGGAAGCATGTGTCTTAAAAAACTCGATTACTCGAAGGGCACAGGGAACCTTGTGGCACAGATTTACATAAAGAGCAAAAATGCTCACCAGCAAAATAAAGTATGAACTACATACCAGAGAGATTTAACTCTAGCTGGAAAAGTTTTAATTCTGCAAGTACTTGGAGCCATTAATTATGTATACTTGTTTTATTCATAATTTGTAATGTTCTTGTATAGCAAAAGTAATTCTAATGATGGCTGAGTTTAACAAAAAAAAATCTTTAACCTCATCTTAAAACATCCACTGATCTATTTCATTCAATGGCAATAGTCAATGTTAAAAGAACATAAAAACAAACATGCACACAATTGCACAGTTTTCATAAAGGTCTATTTCATTATTGGTGGGTAGCGCATTTAACAGTTAAATACATTTAAATAATGTATAGATGACTGCACGACTGCAGCATTGGTAACTAGATAACCAATTGAACTAGAAACCAGCTAACAAGTAACTGTCTAATATTTAAAATACAGCTCTTGTTTAGATTATCCTTTGTTTTGATCACCTTCTTGGGGGAAGAAAAAAGCCTGCTGGTCACAATGGAAATTTAAGGCCAAATCTTCTGATATTCATTTCCAGAGGTTTCTTTCAGCTGGATTAAGCCTCCAATTCCAGGGCAAGCCCAAGTTTATGGCCTCCAGCATTAATGCTCTTCCCATCTACCAGAGCAGACAGTGTAAGCTTCACACCTGTATCAAAGCAAATCACCAGGATGAGCTGAAACACTTCACTACTAGTGTGAATCTTCTGCTGAGGCCACACAGAGTGTGGCTTTCCATCACTTCCTCAGCCTGCCAGTTAAATATCCTAGTGCTAGCCACCAGATGGCGCTTGGAAGTAGAAATACCAGGAAGAACTGTTGGTAAGGTACCAAAGTCATATAGCATAAAAAGGTTATCAACAAATAACAAGTTCAAAATACTATACCCAGAAAGACCCTTGGGGGAAATGTGACAAACTGACACAGATTACCTATTAATTTTCTTAGATGTATCAGTATATTGTTATTGTAATTTCTTATTCTTAGGCTATGCGTACTATGAATATGTATCCATGTCTATGAAACATACATTTCCTAAGCTTGTGTGAAAAAGTTATGTGTAGAGAAAAAGTGGATGTAGACAAAGACTATTAACTAATTATTCTCTCAGTAGGTTTCAAAGTAGTCATAATAGGGAGGGAGTATTCTATTGAGAGGGAGAAAAATCTCTTGACAGATTTTTTAGATTTATTTTTGTACCAGTACTGGGACTTGAAGGCCCTCTGGTTTTCACTCAAGGCTGGTGCTCTACCACTTGCCATACCACCAATTCCAACTTTTATTCATTAATAGAAGATTCTTAAGATTTTTCAGCCAGGGTTAGCTTTGAACCTTGATCCTTGGTGTTTCAGCCTTCTAAGTAGGATTACAGGTATGAGCCACCAGCATACCCATCATCACCTGACACTTTAGAACTTTGTCAACAAATGGTTTAAACTGTGAACTGAGGAGCTTACTCAAATTACAAAACTCTCTACACACCTGTTGTATCATGAACAGACTTCCCAGGTGACTTAAAACCCATACTTAACTCTAAAAACGTAACTCCAGAAACCAGTACTAGATACCTGGGGGACAAAT